AATCAGTGATATCATAAGATGATAAATTATTTATATATAAAAATTATATGATATCAATAATGATCACTACTGGTAATATGTAATAATTTTTTTTTTATATTAAATAATATAATTGTAAAATTTAAAATATTAATATTTTATTTATTAAAACTATTTTATATATTATTATAAATATATATTCATTAAAATCAAAAAATTTATTTAAATAAATTTAATTAATATATCTAATTTTAAAAATATTAATAAACTTATTAAATATTTTTTTAAAGATAATAACTATATTATAAAAAAAAATATATTTTTAAAAATTTTAAAAATAAAATAATTTATAAAGAAAATATTTATGTGATAATATACATTTTTTTTATTAAAAAAATCAAAAAATGTTAAAAGTAAATTTTTCTATATATAATACCTATTATTATAATATTCTTAAGTATAACTTTAAAATTTAAAATTTATAATATATTATTATATTCTTTATTTATATGTATTATATAATCTTTTTGAATATTTATATTTATATTTATTATATTAATAATTAAAATTAAAATTAAGATTCAAAATTCAAAATTAATTTATTAGAAAATAGCAATATAATAATATTTTAATAATGTTTTTTATTATACAAATAGTTATGTTACACTAATAATTAAAATTAACCTTTTCATTGTATAAAAATAAATCATCATTCTGATTGCTAAGTTGCTACTCAAAAAAAAAGAACTTTGTAATCCGATCCGGCATAAACCGTGAAAGATCAAATTTTTGAGCCCGAGAACTTTTCGAGAAAACTCGAATTTATATAATAACCTTATCGCGCTTATCATAGGCGATTTTATTGGTTTCACGTGACTTCTAATCATGGCCCATGTACATGTACGTACATTAAAAATCACATTTGATTAAACGGCTTTCAAAATGTTTTTTCGAATTAACCTTATATATTTAAAAATTACATTCTTACATTTGTATATAAAAAAAAAATTGAGATGATTAAAAAAAGGGGGAACTTTGGGCTTATTCATTTGTACTCGTGTATGAGTACGAGATGTATTTGGTTGGAAGACACGCATCATGCCTAAAATAATATAATTTTCAATTAAAACAAGCCTCATTCCCAAAATATATTGTTGGCCCTTTCACACTTACCTGTAAACAGCATATTCTTCGTAGTTCAAAACAGCTCCGCCATGTGGACATGTACCTAAATCCACGTAAGACATTAGATACATATATTAAGATACGAGCGATAATGATTCAAAATTACCTTTACGTCCCCATGTAGAGTCGAAACCACTCGGCGGTGAACGGCAATTTTGGTCAACCCGATTTGGCTGCCAGGCTTTGCCAAGCACGACCTGTAAAATGATGAAAAGAAGTAAATATAGAATACAAGTTAAAACATATGATGACAATTTCATACTTTGGTCATGAACATCATCCTACACGTACGACCAGATTCATTAGGATGCGGTTTGGCCTAATAAAACGCAAAGATTAAAAATTTGGATCAAAATCGATTAAAAATAATAAAAAGTTGGATATTTGTACTCAACACCCTTATGACCATAAAAGTGAGCTTTTGAAGAGAATGGTGTAAAATATAACCCTTGTCCAAGGCGTTGGAAAGTTCGTCCTTGCTTGTTAATCCCCACCTTATATGATGTTAAGAAAAGTTAATGAAAAACTATACATTTTATATAAAGATCAATGAGATTTACCTTGCTGATGTTGAAGGAATTCATGAGAATACCACAGCCAGCACAATTGTTTGATTTGCAAAGTCTTTGCATAACAGCTGCATAAATGACTGCGCAATCGTGATCTGTTCCATGATACAACAGGCGCTCGTTACCTTCTTGTAGACCAAGCGATTTAAAATTACCACGAGATTCAACACCGGCACGATATGTCTTGTAGTTTGCAACGATTGATTGAGGCAAAAGAATATTATATATTGCATCAACTCTTAGCCCTATTGTTTGTTATACATGAAAGCGTAAATAAATTACGGATTAAATTTTACAGTGACCGCGTAATATTTACGTTACCTTGCGTGTTTTCCTTTACCCAATCATCCAAAAATTTTTGTTCTGTGCTGGAGAATTCAGAGGTTCCCCTTGGGATTTCTATAAGGTGAGTCGTTAAATTTTGTGGCGACTTAAGCTGAATAGTACTAGGGAAATTTGTAGCTACAACACAAAAAACAAATATATATATATTTAAATATATAATATATTGTATTAGGTCAAATAAATATAATATAAACTAATTCTTACAATTTAATTCTCTAATATGAACGAGACATAGATTATAATCTTTGCATTCAATTTTTTTATTACATCTTGAAATAGCACAATATGTCATTTTTAAGGTCCACGAAATGGTAGAAATTAGAAAGTATTTTTTGTTCAAAGAATGTCAAAAAAGCAGGATGTTATAAAATTTCTATTTTTATTGATATGCACGATGATTAGATAATCGTGTTATTGTCAGAAGAAACGAGAAATTCAAATAAACTTCCCAACTACAATAGGATAAAATACAATTTCATTCATCATTTAACTTATTTAACATTAAATAAAATAATAAAATTAGAATGAATCACGAAAATCGGTAACTGAAGTCCGAAAACCTGAGAACCTGATACCGGTTTATAACCGGTCCGGTTTTGCTAAAATCTTGGCCGGCATTGAGAGTTTGACCAAAGTTAAATAAAATCGAGTTTATCCGGTTAAAAAAGGTAAATTTGCATATGAAACATGAATAATTATGAATAAGTTTAACGGTTATTATTTTTTTATTCTGACATAGTTAAAAGTAAGTAAAAGTCAAATGAATAAAATGTGACATTATCATATTACATAAAGAGAAAATATCATTCTGATGAAATTATTGCGAATAATATCGTAAAATATTAAAGACAAGTGATTATTACTAAAAGTATGATTCATTATTACATTTATATAATCATTTATAAAAGAACATTATTATTAATATATTTTTTTTTTAACAAAAAAAGACATGAGCGATATGGAGATTGACGATAATTCGGAAGTGGAATATATGAATATAGAAGAAAATAATAATAATATTTCAAATCCTTCTTTCCTTCCTCTTCCAACGCATATAGATTCAGTTATTTTAGAAACGAAGCCATATCACTCTCTCGTTTCGTCATACGACTTTTCAAAGCCATTATCAGCCACTGCCGGTATTAAGAAAAAGTATTTAGTATCGAAATCGAAAATGGCAAAAAAGAAGAAATCGAAAAAGAATAACCATTACCATAAACATTCAACTAATAAGGCTAGAAAGAAAGATGCATCAATCTTAAATCCAATCAAAGTTTCGAACTCTGATATTAATGAAGCAGAAACTTCAGAACCTCTCGTGATAAACTCTGATTTTAATGTAGTAGAATCTTCACAACCACCCGTAACAAGCCCTGATAATATTGTAGTAGAACCCTCACAACCTCCCGTTGCAAGCTTTGATCTTAATGTAGTAGAACCTTCACAACCTCCCGTTGCAAGCTCCGATCTTAATGTAGAAGAACCTTCACAACCTCTCGTTACAAGTAATGAAATTGATACTTTACGAACTTTCGTTTCAAATTCTGAAGATCATAATTTAAAATCTTCACAATCTCTCGTTACAAATTCTGATAGTAACGAAGTGGAAACTTCAACTTTCGTTTCAAATTCTGAAGATCATAATTCACGATCTCAGTTTATTCCAGAAGAGGAACTTTTTGAAAACCGAATTAATCTAGTGAAAAAGGAGCACTCAAAGGGTAACGACTTCTCGCTTCTTGAAAGTCCTCATTCTATTCCTCCAACTAATAATCAACCATCAGATCAACGCAAAGAAACGAATGTCAGTGAAACAGCCAAAGCTGATGAGAAGATTAACCACATCTCCAATAAGAAGCAATTTAGCGAAACGACAAATGATATTTCAAAACCCGATGCTGTATCACCACATACCAATGATGCGCCAACGCATAGCATGGGACATATTTTTAGTAATCCGCACATACAACCCGTATTAGGCAGACTTCGTAAAAAATCTAAGTACGATAATGTTGGATTTGGTTGGGCAAATCAAACTTTTGACATTCAAAAAGCTGTCGAGCCGACTCCTTGCTATTCTAATTCAAAAAACGAACTATATGATAAACAAAAAGCAGGGGATAAAATTCAAAATGGTGTCAGTCAGAGCGGCCAAAATGATTATGAAGGAACAGGAGAGTCTCCTGGTCAAGAAGTTACAGTTACATCTCATCTTGATATTAACAAAGGTTCTGACATTGACGCCAAAGGAACATCCGCATCAGATGTCTTACAAAAAGATAATCAAATTAAAAATGTAAAGGAATGTAAATGTCTAAATATAATCGGTGGGTTGTTGGGAATGGGATTTTATTCGTGTCATTGTGACGCTTCAAAATATGAAAATGTCGATTTCGACAATATTCTTAAGGAAGAAATCCCTGATAAAACAAAACCAATACCAGCTAAGAAGAGTAAGCACTTCTTTTCTTCCTTTTTCGGACTTTTTGGTTATGAAACTGATGATGATGACCACGACAAGACAAAACTTGATCATAATCCAGAGCATTCTTCCAGATGGAATAATAAAAGAAATCCGGATGTAAGATCACTCGATCCACTAGCACCTTTGGAATCAGATCGTCCTTATTCACATCAACATACTAGTACAAATTCATCAACGAATTCAAACCCACATACTTATGGAAATTCACCATTTTATAAGTCATACGCAAGTGCCTCGCAGAGCTCAAGCTCATCCCAAAATTCCAGTTGGCAAGATAACAATATTCGTTATGGTTCTTCACATATGAGAAGTAATTGTCAACAAGTAACCTCACTTCTTCCCCCGAAAGTCATGCGTCTACTCATATTGTCTATATCATTTGATTCTAATGAACATCCGAACCTTGATAAAGGTCATTCAACATATTATCATTCCATTTTTCATAACTTCAAAAGTCCTAGAATAGATACTGATAAGGCATTAAATTTTATTTATGATTGTATCATAAACTGTTGGGCCAACTCATGGAAGGTTGCGTTGGTCGTTTCTATAAATCAAAAAGAAAATCCTGAAAGTTTACATAATTTTTTTTAAGAAATTCCGTAGTAGGTTTGAGAGTGAAATATTAAATATCATTCTCATACGACCTTCATGTCCAACGTATGTCGTTCAAAACTTTCACGGTCTTGGCATTGCTGTTGCAAAAGGTTCTTATAGAGAAGGTTGGAAACAAGAATTTAGCAATATGTTGAGAGATGTAATTACAAAGGTATTGATCAAAATTATTTGCATGAATGTATGTTCCTTTACTAGATATTTATATTTTTTTTTGTGATACTAAAATAGGCATATCGTCCTAATAAATACGGAAATGATGATATATTATTTTATAATAAAGACGAACCATACTATGAGTTTACCAATTTTTATAGAGCCAAGATCAAAATAGATCGGGTAGAATGGCCAACAACAGAACATTACTGTGAGTAATAGTAATATATGTAAGGAATTTTTTTAGAACCATCTATTTATTTTCAAAATCAATGTTATATCTAGTCCAGGCCGCGAAATTCGAAAGCGAATATATTCGCGATAAAATTCGTTTCGCTTTTACGGCTCGCGAAGCTTTCTCTATTGCGCGGAGTCATAATTCTTTCAAGCGTGAGGACTGGGAATTGCCTAAGCCACCGGATAACGATATCTTTAAAGAAACAAAAATGAAGCATGCACTCTTTTCAAAATTTACACAACATGATAAATTGAAGTACAAACTACTTTCAACAGGCAAGGCAAAAATTTACGAGCATACAGAAAATGATCGGTATTGGGGAGATGGAGGAAAGTATGGAGGTGGCCTTAATAGGTTGGGAACTATGTTGGTTGAAACCAGGAATATTCTTATGGAAGACGAGAAATCAATACTGATAAAAAAACACAAACCTCAACCATCCGAAAGGTGGATTGTATCTGAATTGAAGGAATTGCGAGTGTATGATGATTTGATACACTTTGAATAATAATACGAAGGTATCTATTATGTAAATATTGTGATGGTCAGGACGCCGAATATTTTTATTTCATAATAATTTCCTCGCGTTAACAACTTTATAGTATTTCATTTTCTTAATCCAGATCCTTTTATTTTCCTAATGTATTATTGTTATGTATTCAACTTTGTAATATTTTAATAATAAAAATAAGTAATTAAATAAATAAATAAATAAACCAGATTTTACCATTACAAGCTGTTTAAACCGAAAAGGCTACCATTTTTTTTCGTTCTACGCGTTTCGTTTGTAATTCAGGGATTAAAAATATTTGCGAATGTTCAACGAATCTCCCATTTTGGAGGGCACCTTGCCGATCATTTTACCGATCTCTACATTACTTCAATGTCGATCCTATGCCAATTTCAGGTTAATAAAATATTTAGTTTATATATTATATCGAACATCATTTCGGTATCGAAAATCAATTCGAATATCGAAAATCATTTCAGGTTACTAGAAAAATAATTTTTTTTGACTATAATCAAGACCTTATTACATATAACATCAAAAATAAAAGTCAAAAAAATTTCCCCGAAACTGATTTTCCTAGCAATCTTCCCATGTGAATATGTACTAGTTATTTCACGGGAATCCATAGATATCATTACTTATCACAGCGTAGCCGTGATGATAATGAGATCGAGGATGATCCGTGAAATAACTATTTTATCTAAGGGAATTTCTAATTATAAGCTCAAAGATTATATAATTGCAAAAATGACGATCATTATATTACCCTCACATGGTTTGAAAATTATTGCTATAAAAATCGATAGATATAAATAAAACAGAAATAAATCGCTTTTGGAAATCGCTTAGGAAACTGATAAAAAAAGAAATTAAATAAAAATAACCATTCTGAAAAATATCACCGGCTGGGTGAATAATCGAATAAATTGAATATATTATTAACATTCACAGATATATAAGCTGAAGTTTTTTTATTTTTCCTTCATATTAACATTAACATTAACATTAACTTTACCTTTCTTATTATCATAACGAACGCGAATTAGGGTTAGGAAAAAAAAGTAAAAAATTTTTTTTTTTTTATTTTAGAATAATTCATTATGACTAAAAAGATGGGCTTAAGGAAAACTATCATTCGCCCGCTTGGAGTCATCGAAAGAATTTTTCAAGTAAATCATGACATAGATAATTATTATAACGTAGGCTTCTTAATTCGTTATAAGGTTCCCATAACATTTCCTTTTCATACCTCTAAATTTTCCATTACCATCGAATTAAAAAATGACATCCTAAATGTTCTATATCCGACGCTTGAACAAGTTATCTTAGATCACGCGGAATTGGCAGTTTGTTTCACAGATTTGGAAACTTCCAACCCTAAATTCATCCGTCTCCAAAAAATTGATTTGAGCAGGTTAATAAGATTTGAGGTGATAAATGATGATAAGGACATCGAAACATTGTTGGAGAAAGAGCATAGTAAGAAATTTGATGTTGAAGATCAAACCTTGCCATTATGGAGGATCGTAGTTGGTATAAAGAGTTCTAAAAAGTTCGATCCTAATGACCCAAAGAATTGGAATTTGATCATCGGTTTAGTTTGGCATCATAGCGTTGCGGATGGAAGGAGTTCTTTGGCATTTTATGCCACATTCAATGAATTTCTATTAAAGGAGTTAAGCAAAAATAATCCGTCACAATTAAAATCTGTAATTACACTTCCAAAAAAGTCAAAATTACCATTTAATAAAACGGTAGAACAATGTCTTGGTACCAGACCTTCATTATTCTACCTAATCAAAGAAGGAATTAAAGAATTCGTTCTTCCAACGACCATTAAAATGAAATTAACCAAAGGTTGTTGGTTGGGTGATACTCCTAGATTCTCCATTCCTAAAAACACTACCAAAACGTTCTTATATTCCATCGCATCTAAAGACTTGAAGTCATTAGTTAAATTAAGCAAAAAACATCATACCACCATAACTGGATTATTCAACGTTTCCGTCTTATTCTCCGCTTATCATCATTTCATACTTGCTAGCAATGTAGATGATAAGTTATCAAAGAATGCAAAAAAGTTGGTACCATATGATTCGATTAACCTGTGTACAAACATAAATCTTAGACCTTACACAACACCAGAAGTCCCTTGGACTCAAATGGGACTTTATGCATCTGAAAATGCTCACGTCTACAAATATCCAAGACCCAAGTATGATGACAAGTATCCGGAACTAGACTTTTGGAAGATGAGTGCAGAGTGCAGAGAACAGATAATAAAAAAGGGCATTCCCGATTCAATCGAACGTATAGGGATCACGAAATTAATTCCAAAAGGAAAGAATGCCTTTGAAAACACTTTAAAGAAAAAAGTTAATGATGATATCATGGGTAGAGAATTTAGTATTTCGGTTAGCAACCTTGGCAAATTTCAAAAGGTGTCATCAGGTTCAAAACGGAATTCTTTTGTTAACAAGTGGAAGACTTATGATTTGATATTTACTCAATCGGCAGATACTTTCTCCTCTGGTTTGGTCATTAGTGTCGTAAGTTACGAAAAGAGATTAACTTTTACAATTTCTGTTCAGGCTGGTGCGGTGGATTATAAAAAAATTGTAGGATTTGGTAAAGGAATTGTTAAATGTTTAAATACCGTAGCACGAAATGATAATGTAACCTTGCAAGATTTAGCTTGAAGAAATCTATCCGATTTGATTTTGGCGAATTCTCGTGTTAATTGTGACGCAGGACGTATTATTTTGTATTGTTTCGTTATCTACTGTATATCATGGATTATTCTCATCTTTTTCTTTGTTAATCAGTTTTTTTTTTTTATTTTCTTTTATTCTTTCTTATTTATTCCTTTGTTAATTCTTCAAGTAATTATAAGTTGTGATAAATAATTAATTTATTTTTTATTATTTTTATAATTAATAAAAGACAATTTGCTAGGAAAATCAGGCTATGGGAATTTTTAACCAAATTTTGATTTTTATTGCATTGTAGTTTTAGATTAAAATATAATGTCAATTTTAGTCAAAAATTCCCGAGCCTGATCTTCCTAGTAAATTTCCCATATGTGAGATTGGAAACCGAATATTCCAATAATAATTGGATACATACTCTAGGAACCATTTAATGCTATTAACAATTATAAAGAAAAGCCTAAGAAATATCTGAAGATACCATTCGCTATTTAAACCAGCATTCTTAATATCAAATTGCGGGTTATGCAGGAAAAGTTGAAAGAATATTTTTTTTTTTTTTTTTTTTTTTTTTGTTTTGTGAATCATTCATTGGTTCAAAAATTCACGCGAAAATTAATATTAATATTGAACGATTTTGAAAACATACTGTACGATAAGTATACATCACGATTTCTCAATTAGTCGCCGCTGAATCTAATTGTAGATATTCCCTGTGATAAATAGTATAATTTATTGAAATAATCGAAATTAAAATTATAAGTTGTGATAACGTAACAAAATTGTGAACAAGGTTTTTCTATAATGCATTTTCTTTAATGCATTTTCTTTTCTTCAGAAATCTTAAATAAAAGAGTGAATGATTAAATAATAAATAACTTAGTTCCTTATTTAAAAATGTTGACAAAATGATTCACTGCATTTAATTGATATAATTAAAATAAACAACTCTCGTGATAAGTGGTAGTGCGCGTGCACGATTGGTGAATTTCAAAAAAAAAAATTTGTGCGCGGTCCGCACACATCATTAGTAAAATATTTAATATATGTATAATATTTGCGTACTATCCATCACAATTTTCGCACATATATAGTGCGACCATTTGTGTAGTGTACGACATAAAAAAAGATGTGTATTATGTATGATTTGTGAAACAACTCACTGTTTATCGTGACATTTCAAATTCAAATATAAGCAAGAGAAAAAAATTCTTCATTGCAACAACTGGCATAACTCTCATTAAACACTTATTAAAAATGTCTTCTATAGTCATAGTATTATAACTCCGGAATTTTTAAAATCCCGATAAAAATTTTTTTGTAACGGATTTTTCCGGAAAAATTGTAAGACCAACGTATTTTTTGTTCGGTAAATTTTTTAAAATAAAATTTTTTATTCATAAAAGAACTTTAATTATTTTTAATTAAAAATAATTAATGTTAAATATACATTTCAAACGTTATTATATAATTAACATTTGAATTGTGTGTTGTATATCATACACATCTTATTTTTACGTAATACACTACACAAATGGTCGATGTAACTGCCTTTAAAAACGTGGAAAAATTTGCAGTCATAATCATAAATTAAGTAT